TGACAACTACCCTCCCCGTTTTCAGGGGAGGGCAGAAGAAATGCAAAGGAGAGGAAAGCAACAGCCACAGCCACGAACGTGGCCATGGCCGTGCTTCAAGTACAGGCTAAATTGACCTGAATGTGGCTATTAAGGCCAAGCCTGTAACTTGAAGGGACAGGGGGGAAAGTGACTGTGTACAACCACTTATGTGACGTACCTGCACTTGATAAATTGCTGGGTACAGAGAAAAAAGGAAAAAAGGTACGAGGCAGTTGAGGGTAACTGCCTCCCTAAGTGTGTGGCTGAGGTGCGACGACCTCAGACCCTTGATCGTGCTGAGATTAAGGGCCCCAGACAAGTGACAAATTTTGTGTGGGGGCAGCTGAGGCCGCTGCTGCCCTCCTCATCCACTACAAAAGAAGCACTTGTCCTCCAACTGCCTCACAATTGCCTCCAGCAGTCAGTGTGCGACAACACACTTGCCTCATTGCTGGAGTGTTGGAGAGGAGGCAAGAGTGCTGCAGACGGAGCTAGCGGATGGCAGTGGAGTGCGGCGAGGAGGAGGAGACAGCCATAGCCTGGCTGGAGCACTCTGCTTCATCCAATGGCTAGCTGGTGTAGGGGGATTTACGGCAGCGTAGCGAGGAGCGGCTGTGAGATGCGATAGGGGGCGACGACGACGCTGCGGCGTTGGGAAGGTGTTGTGGCACGGCGTCATCCGCGGCCATAACAGCAGTACTCGGGAGGTGTTGCACGAGCGGTGCGGCGTTGCTGGCAACCATTTTTTTTACGCGCTGGGGAGGTGCTGTCCGGGTAATGCGGCGTCGACGACGGCTATTGCGGCAGTGCAGGAAAGTGCTGCTGGACTTGCGGCGCGACGACACTTGATTTTTCTTTTGGAGGGGAAGTGTTGTCGGACTTGCAGCACGACGACACTTGATTTTTCTTTTGGCAGGGCAGTGCCGCCGGATTTGCGGCGCGACGACACTTGATTTTTTTTGGGGGGGGGAGGAAATGCTGCCAGACTTGCGGCACGGCGACACTTGATTTTTTTTTTGGCAGGGAAGTGCTACCAGATTTGAGGCGCGACGACACTTGATTTTTTTTTTTGGCAGGGAAGTGTTGTCGGACTTGTGTCGTGGCGACACTTGTTTTTTTTTCTTTGGTGTGGAAATGTTGCTGGACTAGCGACATGACAACAGGGATTTACGGAACGGCAGCGGTGGAGTTTTTTTTTCTACGGCGCGGCATCTGTTTTGTTTGATGAGGTTGTGCTACCAGAGTTTGAGTGTGCGGCGGCAGCAACGTGACACGGTGGCAGTTGACGCGCGCAACACTATGAAATCTACGTGATGAGCGAATGTTGGGGGTTGGGATTGCCTCGACTCTTGTGGCAGTGGTACCGGCCCATCTGGAGCTGCCTAGGACCAGTTGGGATTGGCGCGGGGCGTATGTGGTCACAGCGGCAGTCTTGGGACTGGTTGGGTTTAGTGGAACTCGTTTTTTTTTTTAGGAGTGCAACGTGAAGTTATTGTGGTCAAAGGTCTGTTGACAATGTGGTAGGTGGCGTAGGACCATTTGGGACCACTTGGGACCGGTTGGAACAGACGTGGGACCATTTGGGACTGTCTTGGAACCAACATTTTTTTGGGGACTCGTGCGACTTGCAGCCATCAAATCTGGGACTACCGCGTGTGGGACTTGCGAGCCAGGAACAAAATGGGATAAGCAGTTAGCTTGAGATTTGTCTTGGGACTGCGGTTTTTTTTTTTGACAAGTATATTATTTCTTGGCTTTCTTGAGTGAGCCAGAGCGCGTTCGGCACCACATCACTCAAGGTCAATCAGTTGATTGACTCAGATTTCCCTTCACACATGTGTGAACCCACACTTTGCTTGACCCTGCTCATTGAATGTTCGTTAAAAAGGTGGAGGAAAGTCGTGTGTATCGTGCACGTGAATGAAAAGGTCTGACTTGAGCATGGGATTGCACTGATTTTCTCTTGAACTTATTGTCTCTGTGTGTTGTGCAGGTAGGTAGACGAATGCTTGCAAAGGAGATTGATTATGCCCCCATGAGAAAATGGAAAAGGAGTGTCTTCTTTTGACTTCTCACCTGCCTGCATGCCAAAAAGGGTTGGTTGTTTTGAAAAATATCAATTTTGTGCGCACCGTAAAACGAATTCGAATCAAATAAAGCAGATAAGGTAAAACGAACGTAGTCTTTTCCCAAAGATTGGTAATTTCTTTCCTGAATGACGTTTATTTGGCTAAATAGTTTTCATTCTCTATGTTCTCCAACTCTTTTCGTTTGAGTTACCTTGGGCAAGGGACGAAGGGAACAACTGAAAATCTACTTATGGTGAACACATTCTCTTTCTTCAGGAAGCATCTGGGTTAAGGGTTCGTTGCTTTAGGAGTCGACCCTGTTATCGACCCAGAGTGGACCATTTTACGGGGGGGTACTTTGTCGATTCGGTGGAGACGGCCCGACTTCTGAGATCCGAGTTTTGTGCTCGGGCGAGGAGGAGGATTACCCCAGACCACTTCCTAGAGAGAGAGGCATTCAACACCTCAAGCAATGCCTCTGATCAAGAATCATCCGCAAAACAGCCCGTCGTCCAAGAAGATTGAGAAACGTATGGAGACGGGTGTGTGCGTGTCCAATCTTAGATCGGCGGTAAAATGAAATAAATAACTTTGGCAGCGCATCTCATCAAGTCAAAACTAAGACAAACCGACTACATTGTTGACTGCATTGAGGTTATTATCGAAAGCCAACTCCTCGTTGATGGCTATATGATTTTTGTGGAATTCGACCCGGGGTGGTCGGATTTTATTTTGATCTTGTGTTATTGGATGTATCGCATGATGATTCGAGTTGTTCTATTTTAGATTGAATGTACCTTCCTACCGACTATGGTCGATTTCTTTTGATGTAAATATATGTGGGTGTTATAACTTTCTTTTGACTGGTGTCGAAAGGGACTCGGATTGAGTTGGTGATTTCACGCTTGGTTGAGACCGTCCTAGTCGACCGGCGTACGCTTCGTACTTAGGAGATCAGCGCCCTAAGGAACGGACGACGCCCGAGCTCAATAGGCGTTCTAACCTCGCTTACCTGTACTACAACGAGCGAGCAAACGCCCTCGGCTGACCTACCTCTGCAACTACATGTAAAAGCTTTCACACGTGGGTCGGTAACTCGGTAGGGATACGCCCCTAAGGGTGGTGACAACTCCTTAGGGAAGCAAGCTTATGCCCCGCGGGAACTTATCCTGTCGTAGGGGCTCGTGGGATGTACATCTGGCGCACCTAGCTAGAGCAGCAAAGGGGCGTCGCAACCGCGGTCGTCTCGACAGTTCGTATAATATTTTGCGTCGTTCCCGAGTTGTCTCTTGATTTTTGTTTTGTTTAAACTTCTGCGTGACATGGCCGGGAGGGCTCTCGCCGCTTCGTGAGGAAACTCGGGGGCTGATGCGCTCGACAACGTGAATTTGCGGGTAGTTTATAGGTTGTTACAAGGGGCCTCGCCACAACACTCTGAAAACAGCAACGTAATTCGAAAGGTGTAAGAAATTTTTGAGAGTCCGTGCATAAAGAGTTTTGGCTGTTTCGCCTCTAAACACCCTCGAAATGGTGACTCTAAAATTGGAAAAGCACGAAAAACACCACTATTGTTTGGCTAACGACACTGACACCTCTCTAGAGTGGCGAGGTATTCGAGGCCTGCCGGCCCACCTCTCGAAATAACAAATTTGCAGGCTGGACGGTAGATCTGTTTCGAGAGCACCTCTCGAAACCCAAAGACTGACACCTCTTGACATGTTCGCAGCCCGTCAGGGCTGCGTTTTATACCTCTGAATGAAATTTTCATCGTTTGGTCATGTCGGTCGTGCGTTCAGGTCCGAATGGTAGTTGGAAGAGTGGTGAATTTGCTGGGGGGCCGAATCATGGGGAACAGGCAGTTGTTTCTTGCGGAGGACCAGTGGCTGCCCATAGGAGGCCGAGGAGGCGGTCCTTGAGTTAAAATTGAAACATTTCAAAATTAAAAAGGCGGGGGTCCACTTTTCTCGAATAGAACTGCAATTCCAATAGACCACTTGTGTGTTGTATTTGAACACAACCTGTATCTTTTCTATTCGAATTTCGAAAATAACAAACTCTTGTATTCAAATACAACATTACCTTTTCTTTTTTTTTTGAGGTTAGCCGCCTTCCCTTCTGCTCCTTGCTACTGACATGCTGCATGCTGCAGCTCTCTCTCTCTCTCTCTCTCTCTCTCTCTCTCTCTCTCTCTCTCTCTCTCT